AATGAACACCAGCTAACAGCGCGAAAAATTAACACATAAATACATTTAAAACATTGTTCCGCGTCTGCATTTGATCTTTAACGATTAAAAAACAATTTTCTGGAAGTTTAGGTCGTCCCCAAGACGTGAAAATATGTGTCGACCAAAACGGGGTCACCGGCGCTGAGCTTATGCAACCGCCGGAGCTGCTTATGGAAGTTTCCCCTCAAAACACAAACACAAACCCGCCACACACTCGCCTTACCTCGCGCTGGCTCACGGGGGGTGCTGTTTATGTCAAGCCCAAGGAAAAGAGCATTTCGTCCCTGGGTTCGGAGGAGAAGGGACGAGTTGTGTGCAGCGGTAAGTGACAGCGGCTACTGCCCCAGAATCCCTTTTGTGTCCCTGGACGAGCTGTACCCTGCCGGCTGCACTAGTTTGTTTCATAACAGATTTGCTCACTGCGCATGCTCTGCCTCGTTTTCCAGATCACACGCTGCATTCAATGTCCGTGAATCGTACACGAACACCTACATCTCATTAGTGGCCAAACCACACGTTTGAATCACACAATTTGTGTGTTTATGAGATAAAAATGAACACTGACTAAGTCGTATTCTGTGTAATGAAATCCCCCCCCCAAAAACCGATATGTGACTTTCTTTACAAATCCAAAATTTCGAGTTGTGTTTATTTAGGTAAAGCAAGAGCTGCACTAATAAGAGAAACGGATGTTGGGACACAGGTAAAAAACAAAAAACAAATCCGCTTTTTTCCCGCATTGACAATGAGCCAACGGGATCCGGAAGATAACATTTCGAACTCATTTTTGCTGTTTCTTATGGTCATGAATGCAACATCAGCTGTGTTCAAGCATTGGCCGCCCTCATTGGTCAGTTCTCGGTCACATGAGTCTCGCAGGTCACGTTTAAGAAGCGTGGAAATGCGGAAGCTCGGCTCCGCAGATTTAAAGAGTAGTAGCATGTTTATTGAGGTAAAAGCAATAACGATAAAAACACATTGACAGTTTATGCTCTACAGAATGTTGCAAACCGAATGTTTATTTTTATATAATGGCAGGGCTACTTTAGCTCTAGACATTATAAGAGGTTTGTTTATTCTTTGTAAACCAGAGTAAACAATTAGCTTAACCCTTGTATGGTATTTGGGTCAAATTGACCCGTTTCAAATATTTACGAGAAGAAAAATGGTACATTTTTCTTACTGAAACTCCATGGCCTTAGCTTATGTTCCATGATAAACATGTACAAACAAAACGAAAAAAAGTTTAGCACACGTGCTACTCTACCCCACAAATGTACATCCTTCCTATGGTCTGCGGTTCAATTCTACCCGCATACACAGAGACACACAAAAACATGCCCAAACACACACAGACACACACAAAGATGTGACATCTCAGCCTACAATGCCTTACAATCAACCCAGACTGGAACCAGAGGAAGAGCCAAAAGAGGGTTTTCCTTGAGGAGCTAGGCAAGGCACAAGTGATAAGAAATTATTTAATCACACCCAAGTCTTGAGTACAGTGGATTTAAAACCAATTTTAACATTATGAGATAAACAATAGTCAAATATCCATTGTTAATTGTGTTCAAGTAGGGACTCATTTAAATAATTAAACATATGTTATCTCAATAGTTTGAAATGGTAATAATGACAATAAGCTGTAAATAAATGCTTTGTTAAATCATTTTTTATATTTGAATTGTTTTTAAAACCCCAAATATGTCCCAGGTCAATTTGACCTGAGGGATAACAGAGGTCCCAAATGTGAATGCCATACAGGGGTTAAAGTTTATCATGTGTTACTCTTTTACATACCTTCTTAATACTAATAATTACTGGTTTATTTGCAACCAACTAGCTTTGTAACCAACTAGTTAAGAAAAAGCGATTAGTTGCTTCTGCTCTTCAGGATCTTGTATTTTAGAATATAACTTAATGTTGTTCTTGAAGAGACACGGAAAAACGTTTTATTTTTACTTTTTGCTTAATTGTTTTGACCACACTGCCTAATTGAGCAACAACGTTTTTGTTTTTAATATTTTACAGCAATGTCTCACAACTATTACTTAAGTAAAGTTTGAATATTTCATACTTTCAAGTTCTTTGAACAATGATGTCTACTTAGTCTCCAAAATGGCATTAAGATAATTATTTACCTCATATGTATGAAAGACGTGCATTAATGAGGACACATCCACAAACTGTGTGCATAAATTCAAGCAACCAGCACGTGTTTTTGACATCACTGGCTTCTTTTGTGGTTATCTTTCACTATTACTCCTGTGCGATTCCTTTCTCTCTTTCCATTCTCTTTAAATCTTATCCACCTCATTTCTAATTTAGTCGGTTTTCTATGCACTTCAAATAAAATTAATGGACTACTACACCATTCGATACCTTTGATTCTCGCTGATATAAAGAAAATAATTAAAAGACACTCACAGACAACAGGCTAAAATGTCAGTGTATGATTTTGAAAACTTACAAATGATTTTGATATAAGTTACTTGTTCCTGAAGCATAATAACAGCCTTTTATCCAGCTTATGTGGGTCAGGCAAACACTTGACAGGCAGGGTTCATTTAGGTCCACTGCTCTGGATCCAGATCTTTTTTCTGACTCTGAATATTGCCCGTCTCTGTTTCTTGCCGTGCGAGTGTCAGCAGATGGCCGGGATCAGTTTGTTAAAGAATTCTGACACAAACAATCTGTGCTCGTGGCAGAGTGATGGAACACGTTGTCGCTCAAGCTGCCTGTACACGTCAAACCCCGCGAATAATCATCTGATCTTTCTGCAAAATAATATCACTTTATCACTTTTGTTTGAAGTATTTTTTACGTGGTAGAGAAATAGGATAAGGGAATAAATCAACAGGAGGTGAGGTCATTGTTGGATTTCTCCCCAATCAAGATTTTTTTTTTAGCAAGCAGCTTTCATTAGTCATCCTGATTATTCAAATGGAATTATTGATATTATCAATTTCTCTCTAACGTATGTCTGTCTATGTCGAGGTCATTCCGTGAATTATTGTCCATTTTGTTTGTACAACTCATCTCTTTGAGGTAGAAAACCCCGTCTCTCTCTGGTGAGTCCTCAGACGTGCGCTGGTGAGCTGACGTCTTGTCTCAAGGTCTTGTGGAACCGTGACGTGAGTTCTGGAAAGTCAACAAATTCCTTCTCCTTTATTGAAAAGTTAAGAGTATTTTCCAGTCGTGAAGCTCTGCCCCCACCTCCTGTGGCAGTGTGAGCCATGACTTAGCTATACAACGACTAAAACAAAAGTTTCAAGTTAATTAACCTTCTTTTTATTCACATTCACAAATCACAACAACTGGAATATCCAGGCAGTTCAGATATATAATCTAGTTCAAGCCAATTAGAATTAAAATCCAATGTAATTAAATCATAATATAATCAATTCCGGTTTATTAAATTCTGAATTTGTCATATTCATACAGAGCCAATTAGCAAAAAGTTTTCAGCATAAAGACTCTTCCTCATTATGGCAATAGTCAGCCATTTCCCCCCTCAAATTGCATCAATTGAATTGTAATTCAGTTTAATTTTATTCATATAGCGCCAAATCTCTACAAACATCACCTCTAGTCTGTTTAAGACACAGGCTCCCATCACAAATGAGGTCTAATTTCCATCTCCAAATCATAAAAGGAGCCTTAAAAAACTATATTATTGACAGTAGATCAATTAAAAGCTGCATCTGACACATTTTTCCACTCACACTTTTCAAGAATTTAGAAAAAAATGTACCTTAATTGGAAAAAAATACAAGATATGCCCATAGAGGGCAGATAAGATGACTCAGAACCGTCTGGCCACAAAAGCCAAAATCATAAAAAAACAAAGGAAGCATGATTCAATTTCTCCCAGATTGCACTGACAAATCGCAAAGTGAAAAAAAAGCCTCCATCTTTTCAGATGTTGTTTTTCACTGAGGGGTTTTTCTGGAATTGTGGTTGGATGTAGGCCACTGAGCCGTAGCCCCAGACCTCCTGCTGTCTCCCAACGTCCAGGGTAAAAGCCCACAAAGACGAGGTGAGTCCAGCCGGAATGGCAAACGGGCAGCGGACAAAGTTCAAACTGAAATAAATCAAACGTACATTAGAAGCTGGGCCTTTTGCCATGGCTGCCTTTCAGGTTTTAAATGTTTCCAGAGGCTCACCTCTAATACTCCATACCATACTTCTAAATTATGCTTTATACTCTACGCAAATGCATGTTTTTCCATTCTGCAAATGGAAAAGTAAATTCTACCAACAGAGTTATTGACCTACTGAAGATGGAAAGTTAGTATTGGGTGATTTCTGTTTTTCTGGGTTGTGTTTTGAAGTGGTTGGTCTGGCTCGGTATTTATTCTTTCTATATTTATCTCATATTTGTCATATTCGATCAGCCTCAGATGCTGCCACTGACTCATTAGCCCCCCCCCCCTCAGTGTTTATAACCATTTGTGTTTCTCACAATTATCCTTTTTTTTTATTACAATTCTTTTGGTCTGTTTCTGTATATTCTTCCTCAGTTTCCACATTTTTCTTTCAAGGTTTTTAGGCATTCTTAGTTCATATTTTAAAAAGAAAACTAAAGACTGAACATCAGTTGCTGTTCTCCACATGGCTCATTTAATTATTAGAACAATATGACCTATAAATAGAGGTAAGATCATATTAAGGAAACAGGTGGATCAAGCTCTACACTTAAAAATGGAGTAAAGTGAATGACGCTGATCATGTTTGAAGTAAATCCAGGAAACGGACACAGATTGTGATCAAGCTTGGCCCCGATGCTGTTAGGAGTCCCAGACGGCAGCTGGACGACCACGCCATGGCAACCAACGGGCAGTGACACACACGGCAAATTAAAAAAAATCCTGTGATGCGTTCAGGATCCTCTGGTGGTCCCAAAGACCCAAAGGATCTGCTCCCTTATCTGCCAGCTCGATAAGCAACGTACGTTATCATGAAGATGGTCATGACGTTAAAGATTTTAAATGCAGAAAGATAATGGCTTTTATTTTGTAATATATCTAGAATGAGACTAAGTGTAACCATTAATGTGTAAGAGCTTTTGGAATGTCCCAATTTAAGCGGTTTTAAAAAAAATACATACTGAACAAAGGGTTCAAGATTGCGTGCAAATCCTCTTTAGTGTCTAGATTGTATTTACAACAGAAAAGAAACAGCATTGAGAGAAAAATAATCATTTTTAAAGAGAAAAACTGCTTGGGGGAAATGTACACAGTTACCAAGAGCCTAAAGATGACATTTGTCAAG